TATTTCATAATTACGAGCTCAGAAAGAAGCAGAACATAAAGTCATGCACATTAACACCCAAGCTTCTTGTTACTTCTTCCTTCAATTTGGCCATGGATTCTGGATTATCAGCTACCTTCAGTGCAGTTGAATGTTTATATAGATGACTCACGTACAGTAAAATTTGCACAGCAGCTAAGTATGGATTTCTGTTGTACTATTCCCATAATTCTTAACCACCATAGCCCGCCTCCGCATCATCATCATCAGGGAGGGGGCAATGGCTACTGGGGATGGGGAAGAAGCTGACATCAATATTTTCTGCTGCATTTTACACATTCACGCACATTAAGTATAAATCTCAGGAACATTAAACACAACACTCACGCACATTGAGTATAAATCTCACGCACATTAATCACTGCACATCCACACGGGAACATTTCAATATATATATATATATATATATATATATATATATATATATATATATATATATATATATATATATATATATATATATATATATATATCAGCATTGAATTTATGAGAATAGAGAAAAATATTATGTAAAATACTTCTTTTAATTGTCCAATAAAACGTAAAGTTGAGGGTTTTTATAGTTTCTCATCAATTAAATTCTTGGAAAAATATTTTTAACCAATTGATAGGAATAAATTTGCAAAAACATAATTAACATATTCGGAGTTATCATAGAAACATAAAAATTAAATTACCTAGAAAATTAATTAAGATGTTTAATTTGATTCGTTTAATCAATTTTATGATTTTTAAAATATTTCTAAGAAAAAAAAAACATAATGATGAATAATTGGGAATTCAATAAATTATTTGTAAATTAAAAAAAATGTTAATTCCACTTTTGGTCCTAGATTTATAGGTGACAGTCCACTTTCAGAACTTTTTTATCAAAACATCCACTTTTCGTCATAATAGTATCGTGACATGACCAATTTTGGTCCTCTATCAACAAAATCGTTGAAATTTCTTTAAATTGAAAGAAATTTTGATCTTTTTAATACAAAGTGCGTTGACCCGTTATATTTTTTATGTTTACTTTTTTGAAAAAATCATAATTTAAGAGTTAAATGTTCTTGTATTTAATAAAATTTCAACGATTTTTTTGATAAAGTACCAAAATTGGTCATGTCAAAATAATATTAGGACAAAAATGGATGCTCTGATAAAAAAAAAAAGGGACTAAAAGTGAATTGACACCTATAAATCTAGGACCAAAAATGGAATTAACATATCTCAAGATATTCTTGTATGCAACAAGAATATTCAAAATTTAAAACAATACATATATAAAAATGTGTTGAGAAACAAATTTATTCAATAAATACTGTTGTCATCTTTCGTAATGGTTAGAGAGAAAAATTTCTTATATTTATAAAAGACATTTAACCTTAGCCAAGAAGGATGAATACAAAATTTAATAAAGCTGAACTGTATCAATTTGGAGGAATAAGGGGCATTCCGAGAATTGAACTCAGGACCTCTTGCACCCTAAGCAAGAATCATACCACTAGACCAAATGCCCAATTTAAATAGTGTCTAATTTGAAGTAATATAATACTAAGAGGTTTAAAGATAGACAGCTCTCATGAAGAGTCAAACTTAAAAGCTTGCAATTACTAAATCAATTATCCAACTAACTCGGTTAGGGGTTGCATATCATTGTTGGAAATTTTAAAATTTCCAACCACCTGAAAGTAATCTTAAATCAAGTCAAAAGCAAAACGTGGCCGGAAATAGCAACAAAGGTTTTTCCGTATACCAAAAGTGATCGAAACAAGGCTTTCGACTTGATTTAAGATCACTTTCAGGTGGTCGGAAATTTCATAATTTCCAGCAGTGGTTGCACCCTATGTATCCCCAACTTATCTTATATAACTTGTTTTGATTCAAGTTATATATATGACAACTTTGGTAATATAATATAATATTATTTCCACATCAAAAAATGAGTTGAAATAAAATAAAAGTAATGTGATTACCTATCACTAGAGAAAAAAAAAAAAAAAAAAAAAAAAAAAAAGTGAATTTATTTACGAAAAACTAATGGGTAAATTATTAAAATTCATAGATATTTAATTGATTAACAAATTTTTGAAAGTAAAACAATGAAATTCATAAGTATTATTTAAGGTGTAGCTATTAAATCTAGGAAAGAAGGGTCAAATTGACCCCCAAAGCAAATTTATAATGACTACCAACTTTGTGTTTGGGGAAGCTAGTTTTAGAGGTGAAAAGAAAAGAGAGGAAGCTGGGTAAACAAAATGTTTAAATGGGTTGTAGGGGCTGACTGAGAAATTTGGAGATGACTATGAAAGCTGAGCAATCATTATTGTGCGGACCATGGTCTACAGAAGCTGTGTGGATCATTTTTGTATATATAGTGTAATATAATGTACATTCAATACAACAATAATATACTTTTAGTATATTAAAAATGTACATTATTTGTGTACTGAGTATACATTCAATAGACAAGTAATATATATTAAGTATATTAAAAATGTACTTTTTGTTATGGTCCACACAATAATTTGGCAAAGCTGAATTCAAAGATATTCCCATGCATGCAAATAACAAACGGAAGAAAAGAAAACTCAACACCGGCCTTGAAATCCTTCTTCCAATTCAGAAATCTCATTTCTTGCTAAAAAAATAAAAAATAAAATAAATAACTAATAAGAATAAAACTAAAGCCCATTCAAAACACATCCACTTGATCGCAAAAAATTGTCAGAGACAATGAAACCAGATTTCATAATTTCCTCAAAAGGAAGTAGATTTTGTGCAATAAATGGAAACGGCATACATAAAATATAGAGAAAAATAAACTATGACTATAACAAAGTGATATGATGTAAAATAGATTTGAAGTCAATAATATAAAAATATTTACTAATCAATTCATGCAACTAATCAAAAAGTACAAAATCCTGCAGATTAGGATGTGGATATTGTGATTATTGTCCAACAAGGTAGTTAATTTGAGTGAATAAAACTAGAAACCTAGATTTTGCAACTAAATTAAATTAGAAATGGACCATCACGCAGGTCGTTATATCGCGTGACCGAGGGTGTGATACAAACGCAAGTCATGGGTGTGCACTGGGCCAACTTAATTGCACATATAAAACCGTGTATGAGAGGTTCAACCAAAAGGGTATTAACAAGAACCAAACTTATAACATTTTAGGTATGTATGGAAATCACATACTCTACTCATTTAACAATAATTGCTTGTAAGTGTTTAGCCTCGTGGGGAAACTTTAAAAAGAAACTATCATACATATTCTATTTAGTGTACTATTTTGTAATTCAACAATTATTACTCACTACAGGTAATGTAATATTTTGGTATCTTAAAATAAATTTAAACCTCATGGGGAAACTTTAAAAGAAACTAACATACATCTCCTACTCAGTGTATAGTACTAGCTATATGTGTAGGTAGGTAAGGTAGCATTTTGGTGTCTTAAGAGGCATTTAAAATCTAAATATCAAAGCCAAGTTTCAATCTTGGGACCTGTAGGTTATGGGCTCACCACGCTTCCACTGCACCACTCTGATTTGCTATATTTTAAATAATTGTTTTATATTAAAAATTTGTTTTTGGAAGTTTTTGTTTTGTTATGTTTTAATAGAAAGCCACCGTATGAGTTTTTTTTTTTTTTTTTTTTTGATCCTGTGACCTTTCCTCAAGGAGAGACACAGAGGTGTGATCTAAGCACAAGGTGCTTAGCATGATAACGCACAATACCTATTCATCTTTAATAGTTTTTTCAATTGTTTAAATATATATGACTAATAATAGTAACATGATTTTGACACTCTCTTTCAAAGGCTTTCTAACTTAATAGCCCCGCGAAATTTAGGATGTGAATAAAATATTGGATAATGTCAATAGCAATTATAAGTAATACTATTGATCGACATACATGTCAAGAAAACAAGGTCAGCCTATTGATCCTGGAAGAGTAAAGGTCTAACTGTCGATGTGAGGGGAGTAATAGACTTTTATAATAATTAAAAAAAAAATTTGAAAGAGCAAGCAGAAGTCTTAAACTTTGGTATATCCCAACTTATTTTATATAACTTGTTTTTATTCAAGTTATATATATTACAACTTTGGTAATATAATATTACATTATTGCCACATCAAAAAAAAATGAGTTGAAATAAAATAAAAGTAATGTGATTACTTATCACTACAAGAAAAGTAAATTTATTTACGAAAAATTGATGGATAAATTATTAAATTAAAATTCATAGATATTTAATTGATTAACAAAATTTTGAAAGTAAGACAATGAAATTCATAAGTATTTAAGGTTTAGCTATTTAATCTAGGAAAGAAGGGTCAAATTGGCCCCCAAAGCAAATTTATAATAATGACTACTACTTTTGTGTTTGGGGAAGTTTTAGAGGTGAAAAGAAAAGAGAGGAAGTTTACTAATCCAAAACGCAAGGAGTGGTTTGTATCACTCCATCACAATGTTTAAATGGGTTGTTGGGGTTGATTGAGAAATTTGGAGATAACTATGAAAGCTGAATTCAAGGATATTTCCATGCATGCAAATAACAAATGGAAGAAATTAAAGAAAACTCAACACCCGCCGCCTTGAAATTATCCTTCTTCCAATTCAGAAATCTCATTTCTTGCTAAAAAAAATATGAATAATAAAACTAATGCGCATTCAAAACACATCCACTTGATAGCAAAATAAAGACAATGAAACCAGATTTCATAATTTCATCAAAAGGGAAGTAGATTTTATGCAATTAATGGAAACTGCATACATAAAATATAGAGAATGAAAAACTATGACTATAACAAAGTGATCTGATGTAAATAGATTTGAAGTCAATAATATAAAAATATTTACTAATCAATTCATACAAATAGAAAGTACAAAATCCTGCAGAGTAGTACATAGGAGATGCATGGATCCTAGCAAAATTTGATGGAATTAGTTTATTTCATTCTAAGATTGGGCATTGAACTTGTGGAACAAGAACCTTAGATTCTCAAAGTCCCAACACAAGGAAATAGTGTCACCAGGGTGTAAACTCCTCCTTTTTACAAACTCTGTATTCCAGTTGTTGGTGAGAAGAAAGCTACCCGTCTTCCATTGCTTGAGGGTGAGTTGATGCTGTGACTCAGTGTCCAAATCCCATATTTTGACTCTCAACCCATTCCTGTTTTGACAAGCTTTACAGCTCTCCATATCCATGAGAGGCAATACGTATTTTGTAATTTCCTCTTTGGGTAGCAACAGCCTTGATGAAAGGTTCACATCACTTGTACTTAGGCGCTTATGCATCCAGTGTTGATGATGATTATCCACCACCTTCTGTTTCTTGGCGATGACTCCCACGTCCTCCTCCTCTACTGGTTTCTTGGGACCGATAGTTATCAATCTTTTGGGTTTGGTTGGGTGCAGGGAGAGAGAGAGGGAGGAAGCAGCGTCAATAAGCTCATCAAAATCCCGATGATGATGATTCTTGATGGGTTTCTTGGGATCAATATTTATCTGTGTTTTGCGATTCTTGATTGGTGGGAACAGGGAGAGGGAGAGGGAGGAAGCAGCGTCAATGAGCTTGTAATGCCTCAGGGAATCAGTCAGCATACGAGAACGGACGACGTCGTTTGATTAAAAGGGGGGATTGCTACAACTTAAGTAAAACGACGCCGCATGAGGGGAAGCCGTTACAGCCATTGAAGGGCCCAAGTCAGACGACACCGTTTAGGACATGAGGTTGTTAGCCAGTTAGTTACATTCTGTTATTCAAATGTATAAAAGAGGGATGAACCCTTCGTTTTGGGGTTGTTGAATTCAGTGTTATGTTTCTTCTTTTCTCCTCATCTTCTATTCTTCTCTCTTCTCTCTCGCCTCTCTCTTCTCTCTACACTCCTAAACCCTAAGCGCCTTACAAGTGGTATCAGAGCCCAATCATGGAGGCTAGAGTGAATCGATTGGAAGCAGCAGTAGCGGATATGAACAATCAAATGGAAGAACAGTCCAAAGCAGTGCAGGAATTACCGGACCGGGTGACAGCCCAAGTGGATACTAAACTGAACAGCTGGAAGAATGAGATTCTGGAGACAATCCGGCTTAACAGACCAGCACCGCCGATAATGAGCTCAGACCCTGGTGGATCATCGGTGAACGGAGTAGGATTTGTCAGTCCTACGGGCTTCCAACCGGAACCGACTCCACAAGGAAGGAGGCTAGGCAAGGCACCTACCGGTATTGCGATGCTTCAAGCGGAGTTTGAGAATGGGGCATCAGTTGGTGCCGACTCCGGTAGTGAAATCGAACCAGCAGAAAATCACCGAGCATGGGAAACACGAACTCTGAGAGGACATCAGTTCAGACCGCAATTGGATTCCCCAAGTATGAGGTACAAATATGACTTCCCTGCATTTGAATATGAACATCCTAAACTTTGGATAAATAGGTGTGAGAGATTCTTTTTGATGACTCGAATTCCGAGAGCTGAAATTGCAAATGTCTTGTATATGAATCTGAATGGCAAAATTGGTCTGTGGTTTGAAAGCTATTTGAATGGATTGGAAGGACCCTTCCAGTGGTCCTTGTTTGCTGATTCTGTTTGCAGAAGGTTTGGAGGAGACAGTGGGGCAGTAATGGAAGAGTTCGCAGGGTTTAGACAGATTGGAGGGGTACTAGAGTTCTCAGATAAGTTTGATGAGTTTAGGAGTTTGCTCCTTCAAAACCACCCCACTCTTACTGATGCTTATTTCTTGGAGGCATTTGTAGCTAGACTTAAGCAATCCCTTAGATGTTTTGTTAGGACATCTCGACCTAAGACCTTGGCTGAAGCTATGTAGTTTGCCAAGCAGTTTGAAAAGCGACTTAGAGGTACTGAGCAACCCAAAACTACCACTCAATACACCCCAAGATTCTCCCACCCCACAAATACACAACCTACAAAACCTTACAATCCCAAGACCACAGAAATTAACCCAAAATTCACTGAAGCTAAACCAGGCAATTCCCAAAGTAGTACCTCATCCAATACCCTGAACAGCACTGCCAAGGGACCAGAGGTGGCTAGATTCAAGTCCCAATTGAGGGAACAGAATAGGTGTTTCAGGTGTTTTGAAAATTGGCAACCTGGCCATAGATGCAAGGGGCCTACCTTCAATATCATTGAGGACAGTGAGTACTATGAGACTTCTGAGGAATGGGGTAGTGAAGAGCAAGGCCAAGAGACAGAAAAGGAACCCCACCAAGCTGATGTATCCCTGTATGCTGTAATGGGTGGGGAAGGCCTCAATACCATCAAATTATTGGGGACAATCAGCAAACAGCATGTAGTGATCCTAGTTGATAGTGGAAGCACTCACAGCTTCCTAGATCCCAGAGTATTGGCCCAACTCAGGATTGAACCCAAGAAAACTCACCCCCTCAGTGTCATAGTAGCCAATGGTGAACAAATACTTTGTGATTCTATTTGCACAGGCCTGAAGTGGCAGGTCCAGAATGAGCTGTTTGAAAAGGATTTCAGGATACTGAAACTAGGTGGTTGTGACATGGTCCTTGGTATAGATTGGATAGATCAGTTTGCACCTATTCAACTCCATACTAGGCCACCTGGTATCTCATTTCACAAGGAAGGGAAGAAGGTTCTGTTAAGGGGATTGACTAGAAAAGACAGCAGACTTCAGATGGCAACTAAATGAGAGATTAAGAAATGGCAAAAAGGAGGAGTCCAAGGGTTCTTGGTCTGTTGTGAGGGTTTGACTGTAAAGGACTCAGAGAGCATGTTCTTTTCAGTCTCTGTACAGACAAAACACAAGGAATTAGCAGAATTAATTGAGGAATTCCATGAACTGTTTGGGGAACCAAAAGCATTGCCACCCAAGAGGATCTATGACCACTCCATTCCTCTTGTGCCAGGGGCCCAACCTGTGAATAAGAAGCCCTACAGATACTCATTTGATCAAAAGAATACCATAGAAAAGATGGTAGAGGAAATGCTACAAGCTGGGGTTATTACAGAGAGTGTTTCACCATTTGCTTCTCCTGTGTTGTTAGTGCCAAAAAAGGACAACACATGGAGATTTTGCATTGATTATAGGGCTTTGAATGACATAACAGTGAAGAATAAGTTTCCTATACCAGTGGTTGAGGACCTCTTCTCAGAGTTGGCAGGCTCTAAATTCTTTACTAAGCTGGATTTAAGATCAGGCTATCATCAAGTGAGAATGCATGAAGGGGAAGAGTACAAGACTGCATTTAAGACCCATCAAGGGCTCTATGAGTTTAGGGTGATGCCCTTTGGACTCACCAATGCACCAGCCACTTTCCAAGCTCTCATGAATCATGTATTTAAGCCCCTACTCAGGAAATTTGTATTGGTCTTTTTTGATGATATACTAATCTACAGTCCTGACTTGGAAATGCACTGGGATCACCTGAGGGCTGTGTTACAATTAATGAAGGAGCACCAACTCTTGGCCAAGCTTAGTAAATGCTCGTTTGCACAAGAAAGGGTGGAATACTTGGGGCATATAATCTCAAGAGAAGGGCTGCACACTGATCCATCCAAATTGCAAGCTGTTGCTGAGTGGCCAAAACCTGAATCTGTTAAGGGAATGAGGGGATTTTTGGGGTTGACTGGCTATTACAGAAGATTTATTAAATCTTATGGGATCATCAGTAGACCTCTCACAAATATGTTGAAGAAAAGCTCCTTTCAATGGGGTCCAGAAGCTGAGACAGCCTTCAATACACTGAAACAAGCCCTCTGCTCAGCACCTGTCCTAGCCCTTCCAGATTTCAGCAAACTCTTTGTGATAGAGGCTGATGCTTGCTATAAGGGCATGGGAGCTGTTTTAACTCAAGAAGGGAGACCAATAGCATATTTCAGTAAAGCTTTTGGGGATAAGCACCTGGGGTTATCCATATATGAAAAGGAATACGTTTCTATCATTAATGCTGTTGAAAAATGGAGATCTTTCCTGGTTGGAAGGCAATTTGTCATAAGAACTGATCATCACAGTCTGAAATTTCTCTTAGAACAAAAAATAGCAACTGCAATTCAGCAGAAGGGATTGGCTAAACTACTGGGATTGCACTACACAATCCAGTTTAAAAAGGGGGCTGATAATGGGGCTGCAGATGCCCTCTCCAGAAGAATGATAGATCATGAGGCTGAGCTGAATGCCATTCTCTGTATTAAACCTCAGTGGATGGGAGAAGTGGCTGCAAGTTATGAAGGAGATGTATGGGCTCAAGAAATACTAACCTCAGCCCTTATAAAACCTGATGGGGATCCAAGAGTAACTGTCAAGGAAGGTCTAATCAGGTACAAACTAAGGCTGTATATTGGGAATAAGGGAAACTTGAGAGATCAGCTGATGAATCAGATGCATAGCTCACCCTTAGGGGGTCACTCAGGTCAAAAGGGGACTTATCACAGATTAAAATCCCTATTTTATTGGGAAGGCATGCAAAAATCAGTGGAAGAAATGGTAAGGCAATGTGATGTTTGTCAAAAATATAAGGCAGAAAATGTAGCCTCCCCAGGTTTACTACAACCCTTGGCTATCCCTGACCAGGCCTGGAAAGGAATTGCAATGGACTTCATAGAGGAGCTACCTAAATCCCAAGGCAAGGATGTTATATTGGTGGTGGTGGATAGATTTACCAAATACAGCCACTTTATAGCTCTTTCACATCCTTATTCTGCTGAAAGTGTGGCTTCAAGCTTCATGGAAAACATCTACAAACTCCATGGCTTACCTGAGAGCATTGTATCAGACAGGGATAAAGTATTTCTCAGTCAACTCTAGCAAACTATCTTCAAACAGATGGGAGTACAATTGTGCATGTCTACTGCTTACCACCCCCAATCAGATGGGCAAACAGAAAGGGTGAATAAGTGTGTGGAAACATACCTGAGATGCATGGTGTTTAACAAACCTAAAGCTTGGGCTAAATGGCTACACTTGGCTGAGTTTTGGTATAATACCAACTTCCATTCCTCCCTACAATGCACCCCTTTTCAGGCACTCTATGGTTATAAACCCCCAATGTTGGCTTTGGGAACCAATCTCAGAGCTGAGAACAATGAGTGGTTGGCTGACAGAGAAACACTATTGGCTATATTAAGGGACAATCTAAGGGTTGCCCAAGATCGAATGAAGCAACAGGCAGATAAGCACAGGTCTGAGAGAACTTTGCAGGTGGGGGATTGGTGTACCTAAAGGTACAGCCCTATAGACAAGTCACTGTGGCAGTGAGAACTAATGTGAAGCTGACAGCAAAATATTATGGCCCTTACCAGGTGATAGAAAGGGTAGGAGCAGTGGCTTATCGATTGGCTCTACCCCATGGTTCACAAATCCATCCGGTGTTCCATATATCACAGTTGAAGAAAAGTGTAGGTAAGCATGGGACTTCCCAAGAGGAACCACCACTTATTGGTCAAGAAGGGGAAATATTGGCTTATCCCGTAGCAGCCTTAAACAAAAGACTCATCAAGAGAAACAACAAGGCAGTACCTCAGATTTTGGTGCAGTGGGTGAACTTGCCTATAGAATAAGCCACTTGGGAAGATTATCATCATGTCACGAAGCAATTTCCTTCCTTTCATCCTT